GGCACCGGCACACACCAGCAAAAGAGGGGGAAAGATGCGTGTTGTTTTTAACAACCCTCATCATTATACAGTGCAGCCGCGGTGATAACACTTCAGCATGTTGGCCAACACAGCCGACTACTGCCGCTTCTTCCTTTGCCAAGCATTACAATTCCACCGGTCTTTCTCCAGCTAGTTGTTAGGGCTCCGGCTGACAGCTCATACTAATATGTGTGGTGGTGTCTCAGCCCATACTAATGTGCGTGCAGCAGCAGGGGAGGAGGTAGAATGGAGCAGATGTAGAGTGCAAAATCGAGATGGTGGTATTGTAATGTTGTGTCATACCTCTCTCCCAGTTGTACAGTCAACTCATTTACGGCTTGTTTTTCTGAAACACTTCCTGTTTGTTCCGTTCTTTTCCTGTGACAACACTTGACTTTCGGAGCACATCCTGTTCTCCTCTATCTGTATGTGTCTGGGGTGGGAGGGCGGGACTATTCCTGCATACTTGCCCGTCTCTGGACCCGTTGACCCGCGGCTTGTTTGCGATGCTGAGGGTTTACTACGGAGTACTTGAGAGGATGTGGCTACTCCTGACCTTGAGATGCTGTCAATACCATAACTCACTCAATCTCTCTGCGTCCCCATCGATGGCGAAGTGTAACCGAGAGAAAGATTCACTGCAGTGCTGTGTGTGTGTGTGTGTTATAGAGACAACATGGACTGTAATCAATTACATGGAGGGGGTGGGGGAGGGGGGGCAAAGCACATTAATCTCCAAAATTGTTGCAGTGAGATTTGTGCATGAAATCCCTGGACTACGAAAGGGATTGCAGAGAGGTATTAAGGGCAAAAACAGAGCACACAGGTGAAAATTCCCATGGACGCAAGGGAGAAATCCAGGGAAGTCTCTCAGTTTGCCAGAGGGATCAGCTGCACTGCTCAGAGCAACATGGATTCCGAATGTCAGCCAATCTGATTGGCTAGAAAGCAGGATGTATTTAATCCTGGCTGTTGCTGACTCTACTGCTGTTGATTCCATCAAATCTGTATCCCACTTTCTATTCAGGGCAGATTCTGCGACACAGAGGCACGAAATCCCGTTGTAGCTTTGCACCTCTACTATGAATGGTATTATTTGCTCAAAAATCAATCAACAGTGGTTTTGATCCTTGCAGGTTTTTTCTATTGTAGCTGTATCCAACCTCCTGCACTGTCCAACTAAAGAGTGGAGCTAGCAGCTTGGATCTGGCTTTTCTGGGTGGTTTCTCACCTTCTCTGTCTTCCTTTGGCTTTTATCTCTTTGAAGAAAAAAGGAGTAAATGTTCATTGATCTTGGCCGGTGGTCAGTCAGGTTCTAGCGGGAGGCGGGAGGAGTGGCAGTGTGAAGGTGTTGGCTGGAGACTTAGGAAGCCAACTTGAGATTTTTCAATCAAACGTATCAGAGAGTGTTCGACCTTGATCTAACCCTAATGAGCCAACGGGGGACACTGCAGCGCCGTTCGCTTCGGGTTGACTGATGACATGTGGGATTGAAGACAAACGGAGGACACAAAGGAAGAAGTGTGTGAGGGGAAGATATAATAGCTAGGAACAATAAGGCGCCCAATAAAAAAAAAGCAGAAAATGCCGCAATATAGAGGAAAAGAAGACTACGAAAGAGAGGGGGAACTCAGACAAGTAATGGTTCCAAACCCCCGTCTTCATGTTGCACCCCAGAGAGAGAAGATCTCATTCAACAGGCTCAGACAAAGGAGAGAGATGGGCCACTGTGCAGGGACTGTGGGACACCAGCACTCTCAGAGAATGGCAACAAAACAGACACACTGATGGGATGAGTTGATAGGATGAGCAAAGATGGGGGAACTTTCCCCAAAGAACAATCCTCAATAATATAACATACATTGTTCAAATGAACTGGAAGCCCTTTGAGTTACCTGTGTGTATGAAAAGTGCTATATAAATAAAGTTTGATTTGTATGCCCCTATTCCTACTTCAGATGCTTTTTTTGCAAGCTGTAAAAGCTGAAGTAAATAAGACTTGCTAATGGTAAGATTCCTCATTTTAAATGGAATAAAATATTTGGCCGTAACGATTTTATGTCAGCACCAGAAACTGTGTTTACTGGGCTTTAGCATGAAGGGGGGGGAAATGCTGCCTTCAGCAATTTTCAACATTGCAGCAGTCAATAAGGGGATGCAAGTTGTTTTTGATTCATTTTGCAGCCCTAATATACACGCCCATATGCAAGAGCGCACATACGTACAGGCCAGTTTAAAAAAAACAAAAGCTTCAGGTTGTCAAATCTTTGTGGGCTTACCCTTCCAAAAAGATGCTGCCATAGCAACCACACACACTCCTCAAAGAGGACACAGCTAGGCTCCCTTTGAACCAAACAAATGAGTATGCCAAAAATGGAGAGAGAGAAGAGAAACAGATTACTACGAGGAATAAAGGCGATAAAGGAGTCGTGCAGAGTATATATGGTGTTACGAAAGCATACTGTCTTTGGCAAAGGAGGGAGGTAGTGAAAAATGTATTTAAGAGAGCCGAAACATGACACAAACACATGGGTGATTACATGGTGAGACTGGGGCTCAAGGGAGAAGGAGAGGCAAACTCCCCATTGTGAACAGCGTGTTGTCAATTACCAAGCCTTGTTTTATATAAAAAGAGCATCCATTGTTGAACTATTCCATTTAATCAGCTTTATTTTGTACTAGAGAAGCAGAGAAAACAGGTTTCTCGTATAGAAACTAGCAACATATTGAACAACACTCTTGGGTGTTCATTACCACACTGCTCTCAAGTCACCATTTCTAAAGAAATCCCACAATTATGCAATATTCCATAAATTATATAAACACTCACATTGGAACATTCATGTAAGCAGGGAGGTGGAAAACATATTCTTGCTGTTGGGGGGATGAAATTATGCCAGCAGGACTGGATTTACATTTCAGCACCTTCAAAGCATCGACTGACACACATAGTTAACTTCCTCTGCTGCTAGTCACAGAAGGTAGATACGAACAACAGCGCCTCCCTCAGGACGTGTGTGTTCAGCTAGCCTTGGCTTTTCACTAATTAATTTGGAGTGTGCTAAACAAACATTTTTACTTCACTATGATGCTGAAGATATTTCTTACGCAGATGACACCTCTCACCTAAAATTAGAAGCAAGTGGCGGCGTCTCCACAGTCAGAAAACACCCTAACACAATGATGTCACTGATGTATCTCCATTGGGAACAATAGTGAGGGATTTAATTATCAGTTAAAAACAGACAAATGCTAAAAAAAAATGCTATTTAAACCCACCCTGTCACAACACTAGTCTGCATTGGTGACTGCTTAGCAACCCGTCCATCAATCTACCAACAGGCTTCAGCTCCATCTGCCTCCATCTTTGCTGCACCTTGCCCAGGACGGATGTTTTTCTGGGGTGTTTGCATGGGACTCGGTCAAAAAAATGAACAAATGTGTGCATGAAGGGCGCTCACACACACACAAAATGGGCACAAGCCTCCTTGACAAGGCCACCTGTTCTCTGTTTTTGAAAATCAGCCACTGACCCAAAATGAATCACACCATATTGCACTGCTGCAGAAATGCCCTACAATGTCCCCCCCTCCATTCTGTGTGTACATATTTCTCTCTCACACACTATCGCTCAGCACAATGCATTAGCCTGCCACCTTTATCCCTCCTTAAATATCTCCACAGGTCTTCAAAGTTCCCAGCCAGCTGCCATCGAGGTAAATAACAACTCCTCTGTGACAACATCTATTTAGCACAACGACAGTCACATATTTCCCCCCCCCGCCTCCATTCAACTGCTTTCTCCCCAAGAGAAGCAACTATCTGCTATGTAGGGCAGGCGAGATGCTTTAACCGAGGAAGAGGAAGATGAGCGGAGCTGCCTTCCCCTTCTCGTCGCCGCAGATAAGAACAGAGGTCTTCTTGTCCCTGCTGAATTCTATCATCTAGCAGGCCCTGCCGATCCGAATGCCCCACAACACCCGCCACAGCATATAAATGCACCCCATTCTTCAGGCTGTGTGTGTGCATCTGTGTGTGTGTGCGTGGAGGAGAGCATTTAGGGGAATATGTTCTCATGGCCATGGCGTTTCCTGAGTAAAAAGGATTGAGTGAAGAAATGTATTAAGTTGAAGGATGATTTGACTGTTGAAGGGAGAGCTTTGTGAGTTCTGTCTGCAAAACAGGCCTGCTTGCTGGTAAAAAAAAAAAAAAAAAATCACCCTTTTCACTCAAAATCATTTCACTATTATTCCAGACAATGCACAATTTAATCAGTGCACAAGGATCACCATGTGAGCAATGACTGATGCTGCATTGATGCAATCTCAGGCGATGCTCTTTGATTAATAGGCGACATATTCTGCATGTTACAAGGATGGGAAAATGAGCTCAGCCTGAGTGAATAGCAGTCTCTGTCTCTCTCATTCCACCAGAGGAGCTCCAAGTCCAAGTTCTCATTAATGGAACAGAGGATGCATCTTCAGTGTTATGAAGGAGCAGATCGTGTGCATTAAGGCACAACAGGTTTGACATCAACACACAGCAATCCATACAAAAACATTATTGCATAATCCAACTGATTGGCTAAAAAGACATTCATTGCAGACATGTTTTGGACAACTCCAACAAATGCATTTGTTTAGGGGCCTGTTGACACCATATATCTCAAAATAAATAAATATTAAATGTGATTTTAGAAAATTACATGTAAGCAACAGATAGTTAAAGATGATTTGAGGAATAATCAATTTTAGCCCATATTCTGGTGCCGATTTCTTAAGATTCTGTTCACAATAGGTGTCAAAAACACCCCTTGAGCACAGTCTCTTTCACACCAAACACACACTCACACAATTCAAAATGCTAATTAAATGCACACAGGGAGGTGTAATTAAAACAGCGTTTTTAAGTATGCAGACAGGATTTCACAGAGAATTATCTCCTCAGAATTCAGCGTTGACCGTGTAATCTCAGCCTACCTGTTCATTTGTGATCCACGGGTGCAGCTGGGACGCCAGATTCCCGATGATGTGTTCGTCCTCAAATGTCTCCTTCTCCTTGTCCTCTTCACTAAACCTTCCTCCAGCGGTGGTAAATGTCAAGCGAGCAAAAAAAAAGTGCTCGTTTCAGAAAAAATAAATACAAAAACCTCCACCACCTTGACAGCACTTTATCAATCCAACTGGGGAGGCAGGTGGGACTTCATGGGTAGAGACAGGGCACCAAAAAATGAAGCTGCTCTACCGCATTACACAGCACATACGGCAGGCTTTAGCATCATTCCCCGTCCGAGCTTGCAGGCTCGGCTTAGTCCCCGTCTTCTCCAGCTCGGCAGTATTTTCATTAATTTCTCGGCTGACAGCTTCAGGAGGATTGTCTGTTTTTACACAGGCCTTTAACGACCGAAAACAACCCCCAAACAACTCGTGTCTGCAGGCTCTCGGGAGATTTGACAGCCGGGAAGAGTCACCTGTGCAGACCAATGGTGGCTGTTTTTTTTTTTAGCGTTTTTCGTCGGTAAATCCTCAATAAATCCCCTGAAGGAGACCTTTGACACCGCCGAGCACCAATTCAAGCCTCGGTTAGCTTCAGCTCGTCTCGGTAACGGCGGGCACAGACTGCGGGATGTTCCGGTAGTCTCGTGTGAAGAGATGCTGCCTCCGCTGCCGCTGCTGCTGCTGTGGACGCCGTGACCGCCTCGGAGAGCTGTCTCGCGCGCACGTGCGCACCCTCGCGAGCACGCACGCTCGTTCTCGGAGTATGACGCGCGCCGCAGTGTCCTCCCTAGCAAGCTGGTCGCCTTGGCAACGCTTTCCTCTGACCTCAATATGGTCGCTTTTCAACAAAAAAATGCGTGTACCTGCCGTTTCTGTAGCCGTGACGCTCACTCAATGGTGAAAATAGGTATTAATCCGCCAAGAATGTCGTCCGGTATTCTTCATGTTCTCCCTCAGAGAGATGTGAGAAATTAGTGCTGAGGAGTTTCATTTTTTCGGCATCCCTCTCCTCCTCTCATCCGCTCGCATCCAGACGGCAGATCTGCATCAGCATGACGTCAGAAGGAGTTAAAGAGATACTAGCCCATTTTTTCCCCCACCTCCTCTCCTTATTCATCCCTCCATCCTGCTTCTTTCTTTTTACAATATCCCTCTCCCATTCACCCAACAGCCTGAAGCATCCCTCCATCGATCATAATTTACCCTTTCAACACAGAGAACGTGTAATTCTCAATTTCTGCTTGGCTAATCCCTATATGAGGCTAAACATGTTAATCACTGAGGGATAAATATCACAGCAGTGTTTTGAGTGCCAAATGGGGTATTAAGTGAGTTTTATACTGATACCACAGGAGATTTAAAAAATGATACAATTTGATTAGGACACGCAGTCATTAATAAGTCCCTTTTGGAACAGATTTGTACTTATTATTTTACAATCTTGTTCATGAATTTATTGTATTTTTACTTCAGGGGTGATCTAACACCCAGCTAGCTGAGTCCCTGATCTCATTATTGCAGATGGTAATGGCTGTGTGGGGGCAGCACCTGCTCCTCTGGATGCAGCAGCGCCACATGTTTGTTATTGGGTCGTATAACACAACCAAACATCTGCCTCCGTCACTCTCGCACTGCAGAACCATGTATCCATAGTTTGTGGGCTGGTTTCCTGCCAGGAATTCCCAGCTCGTAGGATAAAAAACGTTCATTTATGCTTCATCTTTGCTTGTTTTCATGCTTTAACTTAATCAGAACTATAATGAACGCCTCCCACAGAACTACTCAAATGCCCATGTGCTCTCAGGCAGATCTCATTGTGGAGAAGATTTACTGCTTAACATCCGTGCGCCAGCGTTCATTCACTTCCCTGTATAAACCTCAGGCAGGGGAACAGGCTGCTGCCTCTCCACTCATGTGGGGAGCCAGCCTGTCGTCAATCAGCCAAAACATCATGTCAGCTCGCTGTGCTTTTTACCTTCGGACACATCCAGCTACCTGAGGGACATGGATGAGGCGGGAAGAGAGACTGCTTTGGGCCTACCATCACGGCTATCAAGACAAATTGTCTTTGGTGGTGGATGAACATTCCCCCAGTGATAACCCATCAGGCCAAGGTGAGAAGGCCTCTGTGTGTGTGTGTATGTACAAGGGTAACGTTCATGTCCTGCACTTCATAGATCCTAGCCAAGCATCAGAGGTAATGGCCCACCAGGGAGACCTGACAGGTGAGCCACACTAAGACACACACACACCGAGACACACACATCCCTTTTCCACAGAACTCCTTGTGGTTTGTCAATGATGTACTGCATTGATACACGGTAGCAAACCCATGTATCATGATGTAGCACACAGTCCCTTTCGCTCTCCCTTAACACAGAAAAAACACACATTCCCTCCCTGCACACACATTCTTGTCGTGATGTATGTTGTGTTCGAGGTCACCGTGGCTGTGGAGCCCCAGGGGGAGCTGCAGGTCTGTGGAGAATTCCTCTGTTGTGTTTATGTATGATCTTATTCCCCCAAAACCCCATTATAGCAGGCTGGGCATGATTAGCGCAGTTCTACCCACAAGTGACCAGTCAAGAGGCCCTTTCATGTGGCCCCCCGGGGGTCCTGGGTCCCTGCAGACACCTGCCTCTGGGTCTCTTTTCCTTTCTTTTCCAGCTTCGAACAGCTTAGACTTTGCACAGTTGGGACAGAAGAAGGGAAAGTAAGATTTACACGTGCAAAAAAGGTTTAAATTGGGCTTCATGCAGCAACATACTCTCTAATTTCTCTTATATTGTCTCTAATTTGTCCAATAGAGGAATAGGAGAATTTGCATTTTTTTTTTATTAGCACAGGTAATGCCAAAGGGCAGCTGTTGTGCCGTGTGCAAATACTCAGAAAGATTGACAAAAACTGGGGAAATAAAAGCAAAAAAAAGCAGCTGTACGAAGAATTTCAGCAGTGGTGATATTGAGGTAAGCTACTGTTAATTAATTAAACTTAAACATATTAAACATGTTTATTTAGAGAGTCAGTTGCAGAAACATCTAAAATAGGATCCTGAAATAATAGAATAGAATGTGTTGCTCAAATTTCAATTGTATGTGTTGGACTAACAACGTCTGGACACAAGATTCTTTTCTGATCTTGAAGAGTGCCCTTGCTTCTCTGGACAGGAACATTTTATGTTCCTGTCCAGAGAAGCACAAATAAGAAAACACAGGTGAATTCAATAAGTACTAACAAAATTAAAACAAATCGAGTATATGAAAAGAGAAAAAGAGGACGTTTGTTTGTTTATCGCTTCCTGCATGAGGCCCATTGTCCCATATACAAATGCAAACATAAAACATGTACGTGCACCGTGTAGCTTCAAGCCGTTATCACACACATACACATGCCTGTGGATTTAATATTCCATTAAAAACATGCGGCAACAACTACATTCTGCAATATTACAATCAAATAATTGTTTGCTCCGAGGTGTTTACAATAATATGTCATTGCAATCTCATAAAGCCATTAACCTTTCTGTCGAAGGCACCTAGAGCATGCAGAAATCCCATTTTTCTCTCCCCGCCTAATTTACTTCTCCTGTTACCTGACCTATGGAACACACAAATCCCTTCCACCTTCATAAAGATTGAAATATAATATCAAAGAGAAACAAATTATTTGGTTGTTTATTGCAAATGTAAACAATGGTGGGATTGTAAATACTCACCTGTGCACATTAAACGCTTTATTAGTTTTCATCAGTGGGAGGTACGGTGGCCGACAGGGGCCCAAACCTCTTACATTAGGAGAAACACCCTTCACTTTCCAAAAAGATGTAAATATAAAAACAGAAGTGTGCAAAAAGACATGCAAATGAGGAAACAACAACCCGACGAAACACGCCCAGGATTTACTAAAAGCAATATGAATAAACGAAAATCCTGCAAGAAGCTCAAAACACAACAGAAACCAGGGGACACTAAAAAGTGATGCACACAGCTGGGACCAGAGTGCTTCTTGACGTTGGGTTAGTCTGTTTCATAATTGTAAGTGTTTTGTAATTAAATTAAATGACTAGGTTAGCGAAGGAAGGAATCATGTGATCACATTGTTCAAATACGCCAATAAATCGTACATTTTAGGAGCGTTTCCCATGACAGTTATTGTTGGCTGACTTTATAATCCTCCAACGTCAACAAGCGCTCTGGTCCCAGCTGTGTCCATCACTTTTTAGTGTCCCTGTTTCCATTCTGTTTTGAGCTCCCAGCGCTTTTAGGAAACACTGCGCATGGTTTGTCAAGTTGGTGAATGGTTTTCTAAATGCTGCACATGTGTTGTCAAGTTGATGAAGATGTTTCTTAATTCGCATGGTTTTGGCACATTTGTGTTTTTATATTTGCACGTTTTGAAAGTGCAGCATATTTCTCCTAGTGTGAGTGTTCTGGGCCATTGTAGCGCATTTGCCCCTGTTGGCCACCATAGGAGGTCTGCAAAGAAGTCATTCCAAAAAGCTGAGAACAAAGTCTACTTAGAGGATGCCAGGAGCTTTTAATCCACAATTAAAAGGGGAAAAGAGACTGGGCTTTAGCCGGATGCTAGTTTGCCAGGAGAAACACAGGAAGTGCATGACACAATTGCCCTTACAATGAAGTGTTTCATGTTCCTGCAGCAGTGATTATGCTTTAAATGCCTCACAGTCATGACACTGTACGTTCAGAATCTCCCCTCTTTGCCCTTATCGTGTCCTCTGCATTCTCACCCTTACACCTTTAAACCTCTTACAAATGACACCCTGTCTGAATTCCTCACACTGATTTACCCTATTTCACGTTCAAATTCCTCACCGGTAATCTCTCTTGACTTCCTTGTAGCTTCACATTTATTCTCTTTCACTCGTTGCTCTTTCTACCTTCCTCCCCGCGACGAGGCATCCGCCCCCCGGGTCGGTAACCGGCGCTCTCCCAACCTTCCTTTCCCTCCCTCTCTTTACCCTACCTCCTGGCATCCTGTTCCCACATACTCACTTATCACTGTAAGGTTGGGTTTATCTCCGAGCCTTATGTCATTAATTCATTTGAACAGCGTCTGTTGTCGGGTACAGCAGCCTCTGAGAATGTGTTTTATGAGTCAGACGCGGGACAGAATGATAGCTCGGGCATAATGTAGTTCAATGGAGCGTTAATGGCACTTAGCAGTAAACATGGCTGTCCGTTGTCAGTCACCCCGAGGTGTGACCCTAGCTGTAATGCAATAATAAATAAGCATTCAGAATGAACTCTGGAATGAATAGCCGGCAACAGAATGATGCATTACTGCCCTTGAGATTATCACATCTTGTTGTCTGTCTGTTTGACAGTGTTGATATCATTGCCCAATCCCAACGTAGCAGGCTCACAGATTTGGAGGCGAGTTCTGGAAAAGTCTGTGAGAATGTGAGTGGGCACATTTGGATTGGCTTAGGGCCATTCTACAGTGAAATAGTCAATTGCTATTGCACAGTCTCGCAGACAAATCCAACATTTTCCGTAAATACTGTACACAATTTTGAGGGAAATACCCATAATTCATACATTTGGTAGACTAAACACAGGGGTTAGGGGAAGCCCAGCATGACATGGGAAATTACATAGAAACATTATCATTAGGGATTTAA